CTAAGTCCGCACGAGTGAGAGATGATCGAAAGGAAGGAGGATAGAGGTCAATTAGAATGGAACCAAGAGAAAGAATGTAGGCAAATGGATGGGCGACCGAGGGAATTATGGGAAGGAGGTACTTAGGAATGGGGAGGTAAAATAGAGAGACCTTGATGAGGGGTCTAAAATAATTCTCATCCAGGACAAGGGTTGACCTGACCAAAAGGATCGGTTGGTGCCTTTTTATGAAAACAGGGGTCGGGTGCTGAAAACAAGATGGTGCGATGGTTGCCTTCCCCGATCTATACCAGCGGCTCGGAAATGCCAGTAGATGTAAAGGATGGGGTATCGGTCGTCCTCCCGAAAAATGGAACGTGGACGAACCTTGAATCAGCGTATCAAACGGTAATGCTGGAAGGAGAGGATGCTTTCCTTTGGATAGAAATAATATGGACTAATGTCAGCTTGACGAGGTTGTCACCAAGTTTAATGGATTTGGAATTCCGAGGGACAGTGGAAGCCCGGGGATGGGTCTACTTGTCGCAAGATGGGGAGAAAGCTATGATCATAGACTTGACACATGGGAATACGCTGGACGAGTTGTTGAGGAAGGCAGAAGCAGAGGTTGTGTGGGCTGCATGTCAGCGGTGGGAAATGAAAATGAAAAATGTAGACGTACGGGTGGAACTTGGGGATAGAGGAAGCATGAGGCGACCCGTAAGAACCATGCGATGTGTGCTGCCTTCATTCCTAGTGGATGCGGTTTTCGGAACCCGGGGCAGGCTAGTGCGAATATGCCAGTCCATGACGAACCTCAGACTATACCAATGCGCTAGGCAAGAATTTTTTCGGTTATCAATAGAGATGGGGCCGTTCGAGGGGAACTGGGCGGAGAAGCTGGCCGAGATACTAAACTGCCTTAGCATAGACAATATCTTTGTTCCTAGCATTGTGCATTGGGGGATAGTCTACAGGAATGTGGCAATAGGGGAGACGTTCCTAGATGGGGTAAGGGAGTTGATGTACGACGAGGAGGACGACCTCAGTGACGAAGATGAAGATGAAGAGATAGAGGACTGGGACTTCTAAGAGGGGTAGGGTGACTTAACTTAGGAAGGACGGGTGACCTAGTATTGTGCAGGAAAGGGAAAGATGATTAGAGAAAAAAGGATGATGGAATACCCCTTCAAAGGCTGGGAACCACGGCGACTCACAGGAGGAATAAAAATGCCTATACCAACAGGGAACGAATGGAGAGGGACCACGTGCGACTGGATTGGGTTTGAGGTTGCTCGGGACTTACCATATGTATGGATAGAGCGGATTTGGAACCCGATAAGGGAAAAGGAAGGTTGGGATGATATAGTGGAAGGCAAGGTAGAGTCAGTTGGAACGATTGTCCTTTCCGAGGATGGATGACAACTGTTTTGCACCATGTTAGCATTGGGACAGGACCCGATGTGGCTTCTAGGGGATGAAGAGGCCCGAACCTGAAAGGAAGGCAAGTTGTTCGCCAACGAGGGATGTGACGAAGTTAGTAGCAGAGTTGTGATGGGAGGATGGAAGAAACTCAAACCTCCAAGTCTACGGAAAACGGCTTGGGTACCGGAATTCATAGCTAAGTGGTTTGGGGGGTTTGAGCACATTTTAGAAGTAGCCGACCCCATGAGAAAGGTGCATATAGAGTGTGTCTGGCTGACTGAGGAGTTCTATAGGCTCTCATTGAAATATGGACCCTTCTACGGAGATAAAGCCGAGGAAGTCATCATCGTCCTAAGAATAGGCAGGTATGACTGCCTAGAGGTAGAGGCGGAGTCTTGGGACGCCATAGTTAGCCGGGAGGCGGCGACTGTACCCTTTACGTAGACGACGTCTTTAAACTATTTGAGGTACTGTGGTTCGACTGAATGAGGCCAAGGGATCGAACGTCGCGAAAAGGCCTGAGTATGGGGGGGTGCTTGTGGGGTGACGTGTAACATAAGAAAGGGAGTGTGTACATTAGGCCGTAGATGGTGCATAAGAATCGAAACAAGGGGGAAGTGACGGCAACTGGAAAGTGGGGGTCGGGTAGAATTGAACGTGTATGAGTTGGGGATAGCGGCAGGAACCAGTGTACGATAAGTAGGGAGGGTTGAAAGACTAAAACACGAAAGGCATGAAATCTCGGTAGGTGCAGCGATCGGACTAAGAAAGCAGGAAAGGAGACATTGCGAGATGGCCCGGCGAATGACGTTCTGGGCGGATAGACCTTGTGGGATCCTGCCACCAAGAATATCAGAGGGCAGGGTCGAAATAAGCCTGGCTGTAAGAAATACGATAGGCAATCCGGTAATAAACTGGGTGGGGGTAGAGTTGGTGGAAGATATGGTGTACCTAATAGTGAAGCTGGAATGGCGTGCGAGAGGGGAGTTCGGGGGCGTAGACTTGAACCGCCCAGGGCGTGTGCATGCGACGGGATCCTTACACCTGTCGGAAGAGGGATGGCGGACTTTTGGGATTGCTTTGGCTTCCGGGGATGACCCCGTACGAATGTTCGAAGGGGCATGACAAATAACCTGGCGGGAGGGGTTTGAGTTTGCAGATCCGGAACGAAATGACGTGACGGCTGAGGTAAAAGTCGTTGCGGCAGGGGGTTTTGAGTTGCCAAATGAGGTCGTACGGATGAGTCTACCACCCTTCCTGCTAAGACGAATGGGAGGCATAGAACGAGTGGAGCAGGCGGTGACTGCCGTAACTAGGCTAAATTTTGACGAAGCACTAATGTATCGAGAGTAATATCGGGCCTTCCTAGAGATGGGGCCGTTCGGCGACGAACAAGGGCGCGAGGTGCTTTGTATTCTAAGAGCACTGGTAAATTCTAGGCCAGGGGTTCCACAAATAAGTGATGAGATGATGTGGAGAGCGATCCGGCGAGAGGTAGGTCGGGGCGCGGCCTACATAGATTATCTCTACCGGTTGTACGAACAGCCAGAGGAGGATACCACACCCGGGGGTATAGAGGGATAGTTGGGACTAGAAAAGGTAATGAAAACACGAAGGGCAAGGGAGGCAGTAGGTGGGCGGATTCTGAAGATTGGTTGTAACCCTTTCTATGTCGACTATGCAGGAAATCACCAAGGTAACAATAGCAGCAAGACGTGAGCGAGTGGAACGCCAGCCCCGTGTGCGAATGGAACGCCATCCCTGATACCCTGGACCGCCTTGGAACAACGGTGGACGATGGGAAGTATCCCTCCCGTCGAGTTCTACCTATCGGGGGCTCGACACCGAATGGCGGGCCGTGACTTTGGGAAGGGAGGCCGCCTTCATGTTAGTAGAATGTCGGTGGACAGGGATGAGACTCCACCGAGGACCCGGAGACGATCTGTTCTCCAATCTGGAAGTTACCGGGACCATGTATCTGCCTGAGATCGGCTGACATTCGTTGGGGGTAGAGATAGCACAAGGTCACGAGCTGGCACCGGTCTTTCAAAGGGCCGCCCGAACGTTGACCCGGATAGGACATTCGGTCAGAGGAAGAAGGAACGTTGGCTTACTTACCCGGATGGAGATGGGAGGTTGGAGGGAGTTCAGGGCACCGACCACACCGCTGAGATGCCGAGTGCCCCGTTTTATGATAGACCTCGTCTTCGGAAGCCTCGCAAGGGCGCAGGAGCTGGCGGATTCAGCCATAGTCTGGGTAGGCCAGTTTTCCTCCCCTACCATTGGGATGTTCTACGATGTCGCTGTGGAGTACGGGCTGTTCTGGGGAAATAGGGCCCACGACTTACTAGAAGTAATCCACATCCTGATGTTTTGTGCGCCCCGACTAGACTGGACAGGGTGCAAACGCATAATCCAAAGGGAAATCGAGATAGGGGAGAATTATCTAATGGGGGTGGCTCAGCTATTCGAGGAGCCTACCAAGCCAGAAGTGCCGCGAGGGCGAGAGCGGGATTAGCATCCGCGGACGGGTCAATAGCGCAGATCGAGTATAGTTCGCTGCGTACGGAAGTTCGTTGATGGGAATAGAAAAGAGGCCTCGCACCTGGATGGCTAAAAACCACTAGAAAAACAAAGAAGGGGGGGCCAGACTCCTAATGATTGACCATAACCCTGAAGGTCAAAAACGGAAAACGCTGCTCGGGAAGACTTCCCCTAGCAGGATGCCTAACCCGGACTCCCTCACGTCGGCCGACTGGACAAGGGCACTACAAACGAGCTTGTGATAAAGGAAGCCCAGTCACGTTTATAGCTCGGTTGGGCGGCAGGGCCAGTCGTGGCTCCTCCTTAAGGAAGGGCAATCAGGAAACGGGGATAGGAAAGGAGACTATAAAGATAAGCTAACAGAGCTGGGAGCCTAGAGAACTTAAAAACCTTGCATTGCGTGTGTCGTGAGAATTCTTTGGCTTATGCAGAACTAGGCAAAATGGCAATGGAGGAGGAGACAAATAACCGTAAGAGTGAAGGAGAACCAGGCTTAGAAGGCAGTGACGCGCAAAGCGAAGGGGGGCAGAAGGACAGAGAATCGATAAATCCGGATGGTACCAAAGGGAACCGGAAGGAAACCTCCACAGGAGAAAGCTCGGGGAAAGCCGGGGGAAGCAGGCAAGGGACCCAGGGGACCAAGGAAGGCAAAAATAAGGATAGGACAAGACCCCGAAACTCGAAAGGAACCATGCCTAAGAAAGTAAGGGTCACAGACACGAGACGCAAACTAGCCGAGATAGACAAGAGGACCGCGGAATACAAGGCAAGACTGATTGAGAAAATGATGACTGGGAACGAAGAAGGTCCTCTGCAGGAGGAGGCCTGGGATGAACGGAAAGTCAGCCAAGGTGGGACGGGACAAGGGGATAAAGGTAGTGACCGTGGGGGAAGGCCGAGCAAGAGAAGGAAAGAGATAGAGAACTCTCCGGGGATGGAAGCAGAAAAGGCTACGACTCCGCCAGCCATGGACAGTAGGGCTAGCCGCCTGCCGATCACGCCAGCAGTAGCGCAAGGGTGCGAAGGACTTTAGAGCCTTAGGGAAAGAGTGTTGGGATGGTTTGACCTGGAAGGAACTATGAAAACTAGGGCGGGACAGAAGGCCGGCAAGGAAAGTCCGGATAACAGTGTGGCAGGCGAGCCCAGCAGCTTCGAGGGCGGCCTTAAGCAGATAGTGTCGTCCCTCGCACGAGCACTAAACAAAAATCAAGGCTATCTGGCGGACGCCAAGAAAAAGCTGACTTTCGATGGAGCAAACATCACGAAGTTCCTGATTGACTACGAGAACCTAGCTGCGTTACCAAAGTGGACCGAGGAGGAAAAAATGGACCATCTAGGACAGCATGTGTCGTTAAGCCTAGGACGGGACATAATGGTCATTGTAGCCGAAAGCCGGTCTTGGAAGGAGACCCGTGATGTGATGATGAGGAAGTACATAGCGGAAGAGAAAATGGCAACGGAGGTCGACCTAGCAGCAATTCAGAGCAAGAGCTTCGCAACGTACAATGATTTCCTACGGGAATTTACTCTGGTAGCACTAAGGATCCCTGGGGTCACAGATCGGATAATGAGCAAATATTTCCTCAGGCAGTTCTCCGAGTTCGACAAAGACAAGATCCTGTCAGCCTACCAACAGACGAGCAAGTTCGTAAACACGCGGGATGTTGATTTTAGCACGGTAATGGATCTGGCTGAGAAAACGGTAGTAACGGAGACGTTGGCCTTGCTCAAGGAAGGAGAGATCATAGATCTGACCGGTAGGACGGGCGACAAGAAAAAGAAGGGGATTGAAAGTCTACATGAATGGGTACACGGGGCCGACAATAAGATTGAAAGGATGGAAGGCGCGCTACTGGTTATGCAAGCGCAAGTATCCCGACCTGCCCTCCCTCCCCAGGAAGCTGTGGTCCCGCCAGGTGTAGCAAACCGGGGATTCAGACGGAGAGATCTTGCTAACGAGCAATGCAAGTACTGCACCGCGATAGGACATTATGTGCGCGCATACCCAAAGCTCAACCATGATATTCTGAAAAGAAGGTGTATCAGGTCATTAAAGGGGGGGATATTTGGACCACAAGGGGAACGGGTGAACTGGAACTCACCAGGAGGGATGCGGCGAGCCATTATCATGCTCAACGAGTTAGAAATAACTGCCGTAGAAGCCGAACCGGTGGGTGAGATCATCTGGGATCAACTCCGGGGGCGCAAACCGCAGACCAACTTTATTTTGGAAAGCGACGGACGTGATAGGGTGAACACAACCACTCGACTAGGAACGGCCGGGAGAAGGATTAACCGTGACACCATTATAGAGGAGGTTGCTGGAAGCTCCGAACCCCAGGCAGAGCCTGAGGCCGAGGAACCAGAGAAAGTCTATGTGAAGCCTATGAAAGAGGAGCCTGCGGACAAGGCTACCGCCGCTAAGAAGAAGTTTAGGTATCAAATCCCAATCTTGACCTTGCCTGAGCTCGATGACACTATTAGCAAGTTACTAGGAACCATGGTGTCGGTGTCTTTTCAGACCATGCTGCAGGCTAGCTCTAGGTTTCTCAAGGGACTCAGACAACTGTTGACTCGGAGGCGAGTAGAAATAGGCGACAACCCCGAAGTACCAGAAGGGGTGAGGGAGGAGGAAGCTCCGCAAGAAGTGACTAACCTTCAGAGGAGTCACGGGGACTTGGAGGATCTCGAAAAGGTCTTTGCAGACATTCGTTTGAGCTTGTCCGACCGAGAGGGCGGCGAAGTCATGAGATCGCCACCCGGGACGAAGCTTAGCTTTCAAGCGCTGCCCGTAGGAAAGCTGGAAATCCAGATCGGAAATCGTCATACCGACGCATTAGTAGACGGGGGAGCACAAATCACGCTCATAAGAAGAGATTTCGCAACGATCACAGGATGTACGGTAAACAAGGAAGTAACAGGGAGCATCCGGGGAGCTAGCGGGGAAATCCCGTTCGCTGGGTACGTCACGAAGTGTGCTGTAAAGGCAGGGGTCAGGGAATCGATCTGGTCATTTTAGCGGATGACCGTAATGGAGGAGATGGACCATGACATGATCCTCGGAAGACCGTGGTGCGCGAACGTAGAGATGATAGGCATGCACTTGCACGATGGCTCGTACATGGTAGACATAGAGGACCCTGTGACTGGCCGGGGAGAGCTCCTCCGACTCCTTGGAACGGGAGGAGACCCCCCAAAGGGGAAATTGGTAACATGGTCGCCGTCGTTCGAGGATAGCACGCGAAAAGGGGCTTTCGCATGGATGGAGGGTATGAAAGAAAGGGTAGAAATCATGATTGAGGAAGCATTCAACAAGAAGGAGTGGATCAAGATGGGCCTGCCCCAGAAGAAGAGGAGGCAGGAGGACGAAGTCCTAGGTGTTATGGTAGCGGAAAAGGAGTCAAAGGTCGAACTTGGTGCTAGCCTGCCCAAACGGAAAGAAGTACGCATAGACGTGCTGGAAATCGCACTCGAGATCCTCGATTTATTGCAACTCATCAAGGCCCTCAGATACCACAAGGTAGGAGTGGATTCGACAGCCTTGGCCAAGTTCGAAAGAGAGGTGCAAAGGGGATATTGCCTGAATGGGAAACTAGTTAGTATTCAACCGCGAGTCGTAGAGGCGACGGGGGCAATTTCGACTGTTTATTTTTTAGGAGAAAGATCCCAGAAGGAAGTGTTCGAAAGTACAAGCCGGTAGGGAAGAAAGCAAAGTCGGTCTCGATCCTGCTAGAGACATTAAAGGAAGAGGCTATGGAGAAGGAGGAAGAGGTCCTTCGAGTGATCCGAGAAAGACGGGCGACGGAGGGACATCGGATACCAGATGAGGTAGCGGACACAATGAAGATAGGGATAGACGGGTTCTTAACGGAGGAAGAAACCCGCTTGATCAAAAGGACCTGCCAGGAGTTTCACTTGGCATTTGCCTTTAGTGATCACCAGAAGGGACGACTGAATGCGAAGTTGATCCCTCCGGTCAGAATCCACACGGTAGAACATGAGTGCTGGAATAACAAGGGGTCATCCTATGAATTTGGGATAGCAGGAGAAGTAACAGACCTCCACCGAGCGAAGATGAACTCCTTCGTTGCGGAGCCTACGACATCGCCATAACAAATCGATGGTTCGTCTTTCGGAAGCCAAACAAGACACTAAGGTGGATTCATGACCTGCAGAAGTTGAATGCGGTAACCATCCGGGATGTTGGCTCGCTACCTCAGGCTGACTTATTAGCAAAATCGCACGCCAGTCGGAGCATTTACTCCCTAATAGATCTGTACTCAGGGTATGACCAGCTTCCATTGGATGTTCGAGACAGGCCATACACCGCTATGCACACCCCCGTAGGCCAGCTACAGATGCAGGTGACACCTATGGGATTCACAAACGCGGTGGTCGAAGCGCAACGCAGGATGCTCGCCGTGGCCGGGGACATGTTTCCAGAAAAATGTGAACCTTACATCGATGACAATCCCATCAAAGGCGTGCAGGAAAAGGACGAGACGGAAGTCCAGCCAGGGATCCGACGTTTTGTGTGGGACCACCTGCAGGACATCAAGGACTTACTCCGTCGGTTCCTAGTATACAACATTACGGTTAGTGGACCAAAGAGTATTCTAGCAGTACCAGAGGTAACTATACTAGGATTTCGTTGCGACACCACTTCGCACGACGACGGAGGTAAGGGCATTCCTAGGCGTAGTCGACTTTTGGCGGATCTTCATTAAGAACTTTGCCAAGATTGCTGAGCCTATCCGGGCTATGATTAGGGAAGAAGGAACCATGGATTGGACGGAGGAGCGAGAAGGAGCTGTCCAAAGGCTCAAGGACATATTGACATCTGAGACAGTCGCCCTGTCCGCGCCTTGTTTTAATGACGAAGTGGGACGACCCTTCATCCTAGAGACAGATGGAGGACCTTTGACCGTAGGAGGTGTGTTGATTCAAAGGGATGAGGGAGGAAAAAAGAGGCCGATTAGGTTCGAAAGTAGAACCTTGAACTCCGCAGAACGGCGGTACTCGCAATTCAAGAAGGAAGTCCTAGTCATCCTGCATTGCCTTAAGACCTTTCAGGCCTACCTATTTGGGAGGCGGTTCATCTTAAGGATCGATCCGACGAATGTCGCAGGGGATCTGAAGAATTACAGGCCTATAGATCCGACGGTAGGGAGATGGGTAGGATTCATCTGGCAGTTCGATTACAAGATCGAACGGATTGCTGGAATCCGCAACAAGGCATATGGGCTGAGTCGGGTTTGCATCACTTCCGAAGGGATGGAGGATGCAGAGCCCATAGACGCCTTTCTCGAATACGAAGGAGGAACTCTTGCGGTGGACAACGAAATGATGAGCGGAGAATGCACATCGGAAGAACTATTGATCCATACTTTGGAGAAGGGGGCACCTGCCGTAGTAGCAGAACTAACAGAAGGACCAGTCACCACTCGGGGACACAAAGAAGAAAATGACTCATGGGGAGCGATAGTAGGACCGAGAGAGGAGCTAATAGCAATGGTGGTCGAAGGAGGCCGGGAAGCAGTGATGAGCTTAGTAGAATCTTGGGAAAGGAAAGAATTGCAATGGGTGGTAAATCAGATGCGGGAAGGAAAGGATGGGGGCAAGGAAGGAGAGGAGTTTTTCTATGTCCAATCATACGAAGGGCTCTTTCGGGAGATTGGGTTGTTGTTGGTAGGAAACAAACAACCTACGAAAGTCAGTATTAAGGCAAGAGAAGAAGCCGAAAGGTACGTCCTAAGGGGCGAGCATTTGTTCCGAAGGGAGGAAGGTGCTATGCCCAGAAGGGTTGTGTGCGGAAGATCTAGGCAAGTAGACGTTATCAAGGCAATGCACGACGGGTTAGCCGGAGGTCATCGGTCGTCCAAAGGAACACTTGCAAAGATAACTCCGCTCTATTATTGGTCAGGCATGGCAGGCATGGTCGCCATAAGCTACCAGACTTGCCTTATTTGCCAAGAACAAAGCTCGGTACGAGTCTTCGAGCCGCTTAGACCAATGCGGGTGCTAGGGCCGGGACATCTAGTCCACCTCGACCTTGCGGTCGTGCCTATATCAACGGATGGGTACAGGTATATCCTAGATGCGCGAGACAACTTTAGTGGGTTCGTAGAGGCAGTCGCCCTCAAGAAAAAGACAGGGAGGAGTGTGGCGGACTGGATAGAAAACTTCTACTTAAGGCATCCATTCGTCAGGAGGTTTATAGCAGACAATGAGATGGAGTTTGTGAACCAAAAAGTATTGGGGATGCTTAAGAGACTCTGTGTACCGATCAAACTCATCGAGCCGTATCACCCTGAGGCCAATGCACCTGTGGAAAGGGAGCACCGAACCTTGAAGAACACGATTGCAAAGCTCGCAGCAGACCATCTGGGGAATTGGCCTAGGTATCTTAAGCAGGCTGTCTTTGCAGATAATATGACTCCTAAAAGGACAACAGGGTGTATCCCGACAGACCTTTGGTACGGAAGAGAGATCGACTTTCCTGTGGAAGCCTTGGTACCTACTTGAAACAGGTTAGATGATGATCCGCAAATGACCACTGAAGAATTAATCGAGGCAAGATGTCAACAAATTCTTAAGAATGAGGAGGTCATGGAAGACATCGCCATCCGGGTGCTGGACAGCAGAATGAGGGACAAAGCAAGGTGGGACCAGGTTAAGAATGTCCGAAAGTAACCACTTCAGGTGGGGGAGATGGTATTGCTAAGGAACTCGGCACTAGAAAGTACTTGGTCAGGACAGTTGGGAAGGAGGTTCAAAGGCCCCTACTGGGTCGCCAAGCGGGTAAGACTGAACACCTTCGAACTGGAAGATTTAAATGGAACTGGATTGAAAGGGCCCTTCCTGGGGCAACGACTGGTCAGATTTCTAAGTCGGTACCCAGTGGAACAATGGCTTCAGGAGGCCGAAGATAAGGAAACTGAGGAGCCACAAGCTAAAGACTAACCACAACCTTGCCCACACTATGGTTTGTCTCTGACCATGTTCGTGGGACTGTCATTTTTTTTGGGACTGGCGCTTTGGCTTGGACTGACTGAGGTTGAAAGGCAGCATGACTTGGGGGTTTGCAATATCTGGTTTGTGTGACAACGGGAAGGGATGTTTGGGGCATTGTATCATAGTTTTTGACGGGAAAAAAAATGGGGTCATCACAAACGACGCATTCGCATGTATAAAAGGGGCGTGATGCGAGGGATACTGGGTGCATTTTATGAATGTCTACCGGCCTAAGGGGGGGGGAGGCGTGAGTGTGTGAGGGACATTGCGGGTGTTGTTTTGTTATACAGGGCTTAGGAGTAAAACGAGAAAAGACAAAAATGAAATTCAACAACGAGAACAACAGCGGGGCAATCAACAGGCCTACCGGAGGGGAAGAAGTTGGACCAAGCCAAGGGAGGAGGACAACGAAGAGAAAATTGTATATTGGGCTCATGGACGGGCCAGTGGTAGGCAGGGGTGGAAGGAAATGCTTGTGTAGGAAACCCTCACCCCTCCGCAGGGGAGAAGGTATAAAAATATCATTAGACAGTGAGGGCGAAAAGGGAAGGGCAAATGTGGAAGAAAGAGGCAACACAGAAATGGGTGATAAGGCTCAGGTCTCTAACAAGGAAGAGGCCAACAGGGGCGAACCACGTGAGACTTGGCATGGGGAAAGCGAGGGGGGACAAGGTATGCGCAACGAACGTGAGGAGGACGAGGAGAAAAGGGAGAGCCCGCTTGAAGGACGAAGCGGTCACGGCAGTTGCGAGGGGTATGAGACAGGGACAGAGATCCCTTTTACCTACGATCCAAAGAACCTTGTTGGTGAGTACAGCCCCATACAGACTGAAGACGAGGGCGACGAGGAGGAGGATGCGCGAGAAGTCGTAGAAATCAGCAGCGGGGATGAGAGGGATGAGATCTCAAGGCCTAGGGAAGAGGGGCGGTCTCCGATGCACCAACCGGGCGATTGGGCTTTCAGATGGGAGGACGAGTTCGGGTCAACGCCCAGTCATTGGTTCCAACAATGGACCAATGTAATCAGGCATGAATGGATTATCAAGACTCGGAAACTTGCAAGGGCAGGGGTGGAAGCCACACCACTGGATTTTTTCAACGAGGAAGAGTTGCATAAAATTGTAAGGATGAAAGAAGAGATCGAGACCTATGGCCTGGGGGTTAGGAAGCCTGCCAAGGAACGGGGTGGACAAAGAACTGGGCAAGACGAGGCGCAAGGCAGCAATAGGAACTAGGTATTGACTTAGCATTGAAAAGGATCGCTGCTTTTCTGTCTGCAGAGACATGAGAATGACGAGAACATGTATAGTATAGGCAAGCTTGCTAAGGATGAAGGGAAAAGAGGGTCAGCTAAGGCTGTGTCACGATAAAGATAGAAGATAGTTTTTTAGGCTACTTTTTGGATGAGCTATCTTGGGTACATAAGACAAAGACATGGGATTTGGGATGAGACCAATTGGGAGAGGGTGTATTGTGAATTCTGGATGGAATATGGATTATGCTTTTGAGAGGGGAAAACCTTGAGTACGGATTGACGAGCGAACCATGACATTGAATGATTGGTCGAGTACAAGAGAGGCTAGGGAACCTATGGGTTAAGGGGCGTGAAAAACACTCCTTCCCTAGGAGCCTAATCCAACTTAGTCATGAATGAGACTGAGAATAACCGAAACCTGAGTGATCAGGAAGAGTGAAAATGGAAGGGGCGCCTTTGTCTTTTGTTATGGATGAACGGTCGGGTGGGCTAGTGCTGCTTGGGGTCGCGAGCCCCAACTCGAGTGCTAGACGCTAAGTTGGATGTACGCATGGATGGTACATTACTGTGAGAAATAGGATGGATGGTACATTACTGTGAGAAATGAAATGGATGGTACATTACTGTGAAAAATGGAAGAAAAAGAGAACAACGCGCAAAAGATGAGATGACCACCTTCTAACCTCCAAGACAGAAATGAGATCCGTAACCTCGAGGCTCACCCCCTCGGGCACTAACATTGAGAATGAAAAGGAATGACCCTAACCAGGTTGTTCCACTTAAGAATGGAAAGGAATGACCCTAACCAGGCTGTTCGACTTGAGAATGGAAAGGAATGACCCTAACCAGGCTGTTCGACTTGAGAATGGAAAAGAACGACCCTAACCAGGTTGTTCGGGAATGACCCCTGACAAGGGTCATTCCTTTTGAAATAGGCACTGAGGTCCCCTGCATATTTGATTGAGAAAGGTTGATTGAGGATGAGCTGGAATGAGAGAGATGAAAAAGGTCGGTGGGTCGGTCATTGAAATAGTCAATGGGATGAATGAGAGAGATGGAAAAGGCTGGTGGATCGGTCATTGAAATAGTCAATGGGATGAATGAGAGAGATGGAAAAGGCCGGTGGGTCGGTCATTGAAATAGCCAAAGGATGAATGAGGGAGATGGAAAAGGCCGRTGGGTCGGTCATTGAAATAGCCAATGGGATGAGAGAAATGGAAAAGGTCGGTGGGTCGGTCATTGAAATAGCCAAAGGATGGATGAGAGAGGTGGAAAAGGCCGGTGGGTCGGTCGTTGAAATAGCCAATGAGTTGAATGGAGGAAATGGAAAAGGCCGGTGGGTCGGCCACTGAAAATTGCCAAGGGGGCGGAAGAAAAATGCGAATGAGAAAGACAAGATAAAGAAGGCGGAGCCTTAAAGCCGAGAAGAGCAGGGACCGTTGGGACAGTCACAAAAATTGGGTGTTGAGGAATGAGGAAATTGAGGATTGAGTGGGCGGAAGGGTCAGTCTTGAGAAATGGCTATTGCGAGAATGACCGCCAGCCCGGCTGTGGGGGTGGCCTTGTTGATAAGAGGCTGTTAGACCAGCCATGAGAATCAACCTTGAAAATAGCACTGGATTGAATGATTGAGGATTGAATATTGCATTGCATAGGCAGGGGACCCTAGGCAACTTGAAATAGACTTGGAAATAGCATTGAAATGAATTTCTCTTTTTCTAGTCTTTGGCCTCAGCAGGAGAGGGATACCGGTGCTCGCACCGCGACCCCAAGACCTCTATCCCTGTAAGGGAAAAAAGTCTCAGCGCGACCTGTTCCTCTTGTAAGGGGATGAGGGTTAAAGGACCAAGGCACCTACCACTTGGATCGGTACGGGACGTCCGGAACTGACCCCGACAACGAGCTCTAGTCGGGAAGTTCAAATTGCGCCTCGTGTTGAACGCCTAAACGTCAAAGGGTGAGGGAACCAAATGGGCGAGAGAGCCATTCTTTTTTTCTAGTCTCTTTTGTTCTCCCCAACCACACGCCATGTCGTTGAGGGGCGGCATGACCGCTTGGAATGGACCACGGCGGCTCGCGTTAAGTTGAGCAGCACTAGCCAGAGGGAGGAGTTGAGCGTGGTACCGGGTGGAAGCCACAACCACCACGGGGCATTGACACCGCCCCGCCGGAGCATTATAACCGCTTCGGGACTAATTGTGAGGTCTTTGTAACTGCACTCGTGAACTAATTGAGAGCCCCAACTCTCTTGAAACGAAGAGGCCGGATCCAGAAAATTACCACTCGGGAGGAACGGTTCGCGAGGAAGCCCTTACGACAAGACGGGGTCCTGGGAGGCTTGGACTGGACCTACCTTCCAGATACGAGGAGGTACCTCAGTAATGACGCCCGTCTCGTAAACGGCAAAAGGTCGGACGGAGTAAGGGGATGAGGTGAGTTATCAGCAGGGGGAGGACTGATCACCCTTCCTTTTGGGGGCTGATGGGCCGGCATCCGCCTACTCGTTGGTGGGCCAAAGGTTGCGTACCTCCGAGTGAGAACTAGTCGTGCGATTGGGACATCGCATTTTGAGTGGGGGGAAGGTGTGCCATCTGTCAACGAAAAAGGAAAATGGTTGTGTAATTGACTTTGTGCAGGCTTGAGAAGAGGCCTGGCAAGATGTCGAGAAGAGAAATGGATGAATAATTAACGCTGCATGAGCTTGAGAAAAGACCTGGCAAGATGTCCAGAAGAGAAAAATGGATGAGTAATTGACTTTGCGCAGGCTTGAGAAAAGGCCTGGCAAGATGTCCAGAAGAGAAACGAGTGAGAAATTGACATTGCATGAGCTTGAAAAAAGGCCTGGCAAGCGACTTGTGTGATTGAATTGGCATAAGCTTGAAAATGGGTCGAGGAAGACGTCTGAAAAAGAAAAAGACTCGTATGATGGACTATGTATGGATCTGAGAGAAAGATTGGCGGGCTGGGAAACAGATGAGCATTTGGGTTGCATGAGTTTAAGAAAGACTGACAAGGTGTCTGAAAGAGAGATGCACAAGGGATGAACTGGGCAGCATGCATGTGGATTTGGCAAGGCATGAGCGTCGGGGAACGGTAAAGGGAAAACATGGATTGCACGGCCCAAAAAGTAGATTATTTTTTATAAGAGTAATAAATGAGGCGAAACCAAAATGGTTTCTGCTCAAGAATGCTTCCTCGATAAAATGGGAAGACAGATTTGAGATTACGAAGCACTGTGTCTGGGCTTACCGATTCGAAGTGGGTATCACCACAGCAAAGACGGCAGTTATACTAGACAAACATCTCCCTTCCGGAGCAAATGCCAGACATTGAG